AGCGAGCATATGATGCATACGTAGATCCACCCCTTCAGGCTAGCCTGTGTACAGACGCTCCCCTCCCCCACAGAAAAAATCAGAGCTGTAAAATCTCTTGAGTCATCCAATCGGTTAACTCTTAATTTTCGGGCGATCCAGTATCCATCTACAAAATTAATTTGTAATTTTCTATTCGTATATTTAATTGTCTGGCTTTTCTTATACTACCTAAAATGTATTTTATATGTACCTGTGCTTGGGTTTAAAGAATAAAAAAATAAACTTGACTTTAATATCCTATAACGCTTCAGCCGGAGGAAGTTAAAAATATCCGATGATCGCTTATGTAAAATAAAAATGATCGGCGAAATTCGTCAAAATTTTACCGAGGCGAGTGCCTCGGTTGGCCTCATACTAGCTACGGCGCTGAGCTTTATATTATTATATAAATGTACACACATCTAAGACCCTTCTGTTATTCAGAGTAGGCATGTTTGCTGTTTTTAGAAGAGCATAAGCCATTAAAGTCCTAATGTTATCATTAAAAATAGATCTCATAGTACGCACGTTTAGTTGTCGAGTTTGGCAGCTTCTATTTTACCGCAGTGCATTATCCACTGGATGGGGTTTGACCCATTCTTCTAAGATCCAGTTACTGATTGTCAGCCTTAACCATTTTTAAAAAACGTTTTCCAAGGCAGGAAATTCCACAAAATGATATAGGTTACTTTTGGCTTACTTCAAATACGTTTTCACGGCTTGAGATCGACAACCACCCCGCTTTGAGACCAAAACGGCTTGAAATTGTATCACAGCACAGGATGAATATAGTTCCTTTGATCTGTGTTGTTAAGTTAGCCTATGTATGGTAAAGGAGACCAGAATTAAAAATAAAAGGAAGACAGAGTAGAACTCAAAGGGAATGTGATAGTAATGCCACAAGTGAGCAGTTACGTCCATTTGAACTTGAGCCTGCCGTGAACAAATCCAGCTACCAGTTAGCAGTCTAACCGTTCGGTCACGCTGCCTTCTCCCACAGACAGATTGGTTTCACAGTAATTTCACTCTGACTTTTAGGCTTGTAAAAATGACGCAAGAAATTGGCATTGTAGAAGCAGCTGAAGGATCTCTGGATGTTTCTCTCTTCCCAATTGGTAAATTACTAAAGATGATACCTTATCATGTAAGTATGGCGGCCAGCTTAAATTTGAATGGTACCCCATGTACACCGATCAGTTTCCAACTAACAGAGTCTTCTTATCCGTGCAATGACAGATTCAAGAAAACATAACACTTAAGACGGAAACCATCAGGAAACTGAGTATTATTAATTTTCAATGGACAAAAAACTTTGTACCAGAATAATTTTAACAATATCGCATTCCTTTTTACATTTTTCAAGGGCTATAGAATGTAATTCGTTATCTTTGATAACACCAAAGAAAATTTCTTATGGGAGCCCGAGAAAACGAATGTCAAATTTCACAAAATGATATCTTACAAATGAAATTTTCAAAATTTTACCCGTGTTTTCACAATCCTTGTGAAATTTGACATTTATTTTCTCGGGCTTCCATGAGAAATAGTCTTTGGTGTTATTACAGATAGTAAATTATGCCCATAGCCTTTGAAAAATGTAAAAGAGATTGCGGTATTGTTTAAATTATTCTGGTACAAGGTTACAGAGGTAATTTAACCTCGGTTAGTAACGTCTGCGAAGCAGTGCCCATATCCTTGTTCTGAGCCACCAACAAATTACCTTAAGTACGTTTTGAATTTCCTTTTATCCTGATTGGCAAATTGACAATGGCTTTTTTTTAATGATAAAATCTACCACATCTATATACACAAAATACACTACCTACATCATAATAATAACTACGACAAAGAATATTTATATATGTTACTACTATTACAAAAATAGGACATAAGATTTTTTGAATTTTAATTCTCACTATCACGGCAAAATAACTGAAACTTTTCCCATTCACTTTCCTGATAGACAACTTTTCCATTTCATACGTTTCTTCTCTAACTGGTGAACATAACTGACTTTATTTTAAAAAAGTGTAAAGGAAGGATAAGTGCATTTATTACGACATTCATAAATATGTGGCTTAGCTACGACTAAGATATGATTACTAAACAAGTAATCTTCTTTCCTTATGCAAAATCCGCTGTCTGAAAGGTCCCTTAAGATTATGTTTAGTTCATTACACCAAGTAATAAAGTCAGACCAGAAACTTTTTTTGCGCATGCTCAAATCCTGGTACACAGATCGTGGCCCAGAAGAAGGATTTCAGCGCTGTTTTGCAGACGGACTTAGTTTCGTCTTTGGCGCAGGCTATATAGTAGCCTGCGAACGGCAGACGTTTCTCCTCGCTCATCGCCGCTGAGGAACGTTTCGTTTCGTTTTCCTCCTCGCGAAACGTTCCTCAGCGGCGATGAGCGAGGAGAAACGTCTGTCGTTCGCAGGCTAGCTATATTGAAAATTGCTGATTTATTGCTCGTTAATCTTGACTGCCCCCCTACAGTGATGTCCTGTAAAACTGCAGTGCTACAAATAAAAGTCGATCATTGAACAATTTCGGACAAAAATTAACCATGCCCGACATATCCCACCTTTGGTCGGACGTGATTTGCATAGTAATCAAAGAATTAGTTAACATAATGTGTCCTACAACCTGTCTGGTTTTTCCGACGCAAATGGTAATCTGGTCAGACATAAGTCATTTTCACAAAGAATAATTATTTGCAAGCCTGCACTGTAATGTACAGGTTAAACTGGTGAAAGAATCAAGCTATGGAAGTGACCTTGTACATTTTGCTTTAAATTTTCAGGCATGCAACACTGCATATATGCATCCTGTATATTATGTTGTGAATGGAGACTCAATAGTCGATAAATGGATTCCTAACAGAGGCTGGTGACGTCACATTCATCAGCAAGCAGAAATAAGAAACTGTATTTTATAAAACAAATATTTTATATGTAAACTTATATAATCCAGCTGGTATAACCACATCTTATGATATATAGATTTAGCCAAAGCTAAAACCGAAGCTCTCGTTAATGTACTTATATAGTTTACTCAACCAAAAATTAAATCGTGTCAATGCTAAACGGCGAAGGCAACGAGAGCAGTAAAAAAACAACAACAATAGGTCCAATTAGCAAAATTGCCGTTGTTTTGTACGACTGCAACGTGAAACTTCCTAGTTACACGTGTTATGGGGAAAATGTCCTGTATTCCTGTTCGCTCTTTTTTTTTTCACTGCCGCTCATTTTCACCCTGGTAGCCGCTGGCATTTCTCACTGCCACTATATAAAAACTTTCATGTTTTTCTCCAAAGAAATTCGTCTCCTTTTTTTTACCTCTCGTTCTAGCTCTTTTTCTGTTATCCACGTCAGTGAAGACATTAAAATATAAAGTCGAAAAACAGACTCGGCTTTGTGTTTTTTTACGTGGCCACGCGATTTACCGCCAATACGAGCGGGTGCTTGAAATGCGAAATTTTACCCTGGCTTGCATGAAGTGGCCTGTGTCAGACGACCCCCTCCCCTAAAACTTCCTTTTTAAAAGTGAACACCTTTGTACTCAATTTAAAAGTAGTCCAAAGATAGGGTAAAGTTCTATCAATAACAAATGTAAAGGAAATGTCGCAACTTTGCGCTCTGGCTCAATCCTAGCGAGCATATGATGCATACGTAGATCCACCCCTTCAGGCTAGCCTGTGTACAGACGCTCCCCTCCCCCACAGAAAAAATCAGAGCTGTAAAATCTCTTGAGTCATCCAATCGGTTAACTCTTAATTTTCGGGCGATCCAGTATCCATCTACAAAATTAATTTGTAATTTTCTATTCGTATATTTAATTGTCTGGCTTTTCTTATACTACCTAAAATGTATTTTATATGTACCTGTGCTTGGGTTTAAAGAATAAAAAAATAAACTTGACTTTAATATCCTATAACGCTTCAGCCGGAGGAATCCCACAATCAGCGCCACCAATAAAACCAGGATCGTTATTGATGCTGTTTATAATCGACAATCAACAACCATGTAACGAAACAGTAGACTATGAAGCTTTACGCCTTCTTCTAATATCAGTCCTGTAACCAGGTAACCGCGGCACAGCTTTACTTTTGCTTCCTGATCACTCTTAAGGCAATGTAGGCAAATGTCATTAATGCGACTGTCATGGCACCTAGAATGAGTTCGTTATACCACAGACTATCCACTGAAATGCCTTGTGACTTTAAGTAATCATCGCCAGATGGACTTCAGTCAACAGCAAAAGAAAGAAATATATAGATTTGTTAAAAATAATATATATAGTTTTAGCGGTAATAAACTTTTAACTATTGAAGGATTCACCAGGAATTTTCTTAACTTGAACTTATACACTTCCATCACATTCATCAAAAGTAGATTTTGAATACGTTATAAGCAAAGATATAACAGAAAACTGACATTTGTCATGAAATCGGACTTTTTAGGCCGTGTTCACTTGTTCACACTGTACCGGATAAATATAGTATGAACAGTAACGGTCCGGGGCGGCATAAGTCATCAAACATCGTGTCGGCGCGGTTGGTGCACTAAATTACAGTCCTCACTCCTGAATATTTACTTCCGTATCGGTGGGCTCCAGGCCTGACTCATGTTCACACTGCACCGAAGAATGGAAAAAAAACCTATCCGATATGTTACAATCCAATTTCGCTCGCTTCGCTACGTCACAAAAATCGCGCCACCACAACCGTTCTTGTGTGTGAACAGAAGCCCTTTCCGGTATGATTTTCGTGACGGCGCAAAAACTATCTGATGTAGAAGTAGTGTGAACAAAGCCTTATAGAAATATCTCAAGCAAGCAAGCAAGCCGTTTTTAGTGTCGCCACGCAACGGGAGGAGCGTTGCGTGACGACACTAAAAACGGCTGTGTAACTAGCAAAATTTATGACCATTTCTGCAAAACCACGGAAACTGTGAAGCTGCTTGCCAGTAATGTTGTACGTTACATTAAGTATACGTACCACTCAGGGCTGGTGCTAGAGGTACAATTGAAAATCATGCCATGGAGCTCGTTAATCTCAAGTGACTATAACAACAAAATAAATGCAAACATCAGTTTATCCAAATGAACGTCACGACATTGTTAAAGCATCTGAAGGATTGTATTTTACTGTAATGTACTAGCGAAATACCGTACAGAACTTAGAATAAACGGTGGAAGGGCTGGGTGGACAAAGCTTAGCTAACTAACTAAGAATAACTAACTGAATCAAAAACTGTAAGTGTTTGAATTCACGTTAGGGTAAGGGACAGACCATAAGGAAACTAATGGCGGGCGAAGTACAAAAAAAATATATTCGTTCAAAGGAAAATTAACTGAAAAAAATATTCATACACGCCAAGTAACCCCCCAAATATCATGCACTGGCCTAAAGAAAAATGCATACAAGGGAAATGTTAACAAAAATTCATGCGGCTCGAAAATTCCCCACCCCTTCCTATAACTTTGTTAATGGTCTGTACCTAAGCAAAAACAGACTTTTTTTCTCAATAGGGCGGCCATGTTAAAATTAAATGAATTTTACAGACTATTATGGGATTAGCAGGGGCACGGTTATTAAGTTGGTTCGACATAGAATTCCAAGTGTTTTAAGAATGACTGTCGGTCATTAGAAACATCACTTCTAAATTTAACACACTCTCTCATTTATTACCTCTATAGCGTAGCGAAATATACTGATATATTTTATCCATGACAGCCAGTCAAGCAGAGAATTTAGATTCACAAGTACGCCACCAAATACCTGCAATGAAAGAGAGAAACCATGGCGTCTACTACTCGCGTATTTCGATGCACTCAAACCAGTGTAGAATCTTCGCAGAGAAAAAATTAAAAATTAACGTTAAAAAACGGACGACGTTTTGACCGTTCGACGGTCATTTTCAAGTTCAGAAGTAAAAAAAAATTGGCATGCGCTTATAGAGAGTTTTCACATGACGTCACGGCCGCCACATTGGTGTTCCAAGAAAATTCTCTGGGAGTTGAACTCTTTTCTCATGTGAATGCTCTCTTTTGTTCCAAGAAATTAGCATAGATGCTGGCCACGTGAGTGAAAACGCCCTACATACAATTGTAAAAAGGCTAATAAGATACTTTTTAGTCAGCATCTCATTAGCCTTTTCACAATTGTATATAAGCGAATGCTAATGTTTTTTACTTCTGAACTTGAAAATGACCGTCAAACGGTCGAAAAGTCGCTCTTTTTTAATAGTGAAATCCGTTTCTAAAAATTTGTTGATTCGAAACAATTAAAATAGAATATATATTTGTAGTTACCCCTCCCACAGTCCACAATCTGGGATCAAAGGAAAACTACTTAAAAAACAAAATTCAACGGCTGTTTTTAATAGCAAGTACAATTATAGGAACTGCACAGCAACGTGCACATCGCAGCAACACACGTCAACTTGAAGTGAATTTTTTGCGTTATTGGGCAGTGGTTTTTCCCTGAAATTACGAACCAATTGTCTTTATAAAGGCATAAAGTAAAGAGTAGAGACATTTAGCAATACAAATTTGGAAGTGTCAGGAAAAAGGCGTCACTTCTGGTTGACGTGCGTTGATCAAAAAGCCTTCCTAATAACCCGATGGCTGACCTTCACTAAGCACAAAGAACGGCGGGAGGATCAAACTTGTTTCCAGCCATTCGCCTCATCTCTCTCGAGTCTCGAGGCAGGCGCCTGTAAAAGGAGGCTGACTTGATGGAACTTTGGTAATTCGAGTGATCGCTTAAAAGAGGGTAACTGCCTGGTTCGCTTATCAGCTTTTAATGTTTATCATACACGAGCAAAGAAGTATGGGCGCTATAATTGGTCAAAACTTGATCATCATCGTAAAGGACTGCTTGTTAAAAATGAATAATTGGCTTCTCTCTCTCTTTTTTTTTTTTTACAGAAAGTTCAGTAAATTTGCTTACCATCATAAACACATAAGGAAGAGCGATAAGGAGATTAGCTATGGCGAACGTCCGTACGCATGCGCTGACAAAGAAAGCCACACTACAAGCAGCGAGTGACGTCAGAAGAAGCGTCAAAGTGAATATGAGGAACTTAATAACGTCAACACGAAGACCTGCAAGAAGGAAATATTAACAGCATTAAGAAGCACTATACCAACTCTGACAATAATTCTGATAAGTAAATGAATCAACGAGATATTTTGCATTAATGTATAGTGTCGCATTAATGCAAGGTATATGCCCCGCAGAAAACATCTTGTGAATCGCTTTACACATGAAAAATGACACACAAGTATAAGGCTATTTTTCCTTTAAAAGTTAGCTTATTTTGATCAATTTTGTGTTTTTTTTTCACTATTTGGAAATTAACCACCAGCGCATTAATATATGTTAATATGAACGTCTAAATCGAATTTATGTACTGTGTATGCAAGGTTTGGTCGTTACAAAGGTGTTTACGCTCTTTGGTGACCTGACGGTCAAATGGGCGACAAAATAACACGTTCCACGTTTTACCGACACTATCTACTTCAAAAAGCAGAAGGTAAGCCTTCCCTCCCCTCCCCCACCACTTCTAAACAGTCAGTGTTGTACCGCTGCCCAAGGTATCTGCGACAAACACTGAGAAAACTTTAATTGTGTGGCCAGAGGGTTCTGGATTGTTTTATTTTCCCAAATATACCTCATTTCATTTCAAGTTTCAACCATTTTGTGGCCGATTGGTCGGTTCACAAGGCTCAATTCACTGCTTTAGAAACGAGAAGGAAGCTGGACCGAGTAAACTTCCGAAAAGACTTCTGGGACAGGAAAAAATGGCCAATAGCTGACCGGCGCGTCCCCAGTTATGATCCCAAAAACAATTGCGGGACACATTTCGGTTCCAGTTTCCTTCTCCTTACTCAAGTGGCGAATAATTAAGCAATAGACCACCCTTTTCAATGGGTTTTACCGGCGTGATAACCCACGCGGGATGCTGGGAGGACACGAGAACCCCAAGTGGGTTATCACGCCGGTAAACCCATAGAAAGTGTGGTCTATAATTGCTTTTATAAAATAACTTTAAGTTTTCCATGAGTTTACCGGCACAATAAACCATAGGTTTTTAACCAATCAGAACGCGCGTACTATCTTAGATATTTTATAACATTGTCTTTCACGTACCTGTCATAAAATAAACAATGGCTGAGAAGGCAGTGATTGGCACAAGGCGTAATGGAATAATATCGCACACAACTTTGGCCAGAAAATAAGCTGATATTCTGTAATAACCACTGGCTGATTCGTGACTATAAAAAGGTCAAAGACAGGTCAAAATGATTCCACAGAATACACCTGCTTGAATGGCTGAGAGCAGTGAGGTTTTTAGTAAATAAGGTGCAAAAACGAGGAAATTTAATGAGAATACCTCAGAGAATGGAGAACTGTGATGGCCGTTATACACAGGTTCCTCTAATTTTAACTGGCAAATTTACTCATATAGAGTACTCATACGATTTTTCTCGCTCAATCTGGAACTTATTTATATGCACTCGCGTGAATTTCAATTATCAAGTTTTGCAATTTTGATTCTTTTTGAAAAACACACTCGTGCAAATAAATTCCTATTGTACTCAAGGTCGAATGATTACCTATACAAATTTAACGTAAGTAGTTACTCTAGTATATTGCAAGAGATTTTCTTGGGATTTTACAGCCTCAACACAAAGATATTACCTAAACAAAAAACGAGTTGAAAAAAGGATGTGTTAAGTTCTCATAAGGCCGTCCAGGGGACTTAAGAGACAACTAAATTCTCCCAACTTGTACAATCAAAAACCCATATCCACTGGTGGGAATTTCAGTTACTGATAAACTTACATGAAAAGTGGTCTTTCTTTGATGAATAGCTCCACTGCTGATAAGTTTCCAAATATCATGTTCATCACCAAAAAGAAAAACAAACCAACTCTACAAAGAGAAAACACAACTGATATACATTAACAGCTTTAACAAAACCAGAAAACCACAAACAACCACAAACTCTTGTGTCGGGTTTTCAAAACATTTCCCTAGCGCCAATCAGTTGGTCATGTCTGACGTTAGTTTAGACTCAACGCACATGACACGTCGTCACTGGCCTGACAAAGGAGGGTTCCAAATGATCGCTATAATAGATGAGATCACTGCGATTATTACGAAACAATTTTGCACTTGGTGGCGCACATAGCTACTCTCTTTCCCCATTACATCATTGAATTCAGTCAGCGTCTGTAGTGACTGATCAAAGAAACATGCTCCACTTGGGTCTTGTGCTTGTAACGGCAATAACTGACAGCCGATGGATTGAAAAGTCGTGGAAGGAGAAAAAACCAAAGGAAAAAATTAGGAGAAAAGAAAGAACCGACCTGTTTTGAATGCCCTTGTCATCTCTCTTCACTTGATAATAAATGGCGCCGACAATTACGCCAAATAAAACCAAGACAAGAAACTGCGAATAAGGATACGAACACATGAATAAAGAATAACGGTACTATAGCGTCTGTGGAATTAAGTCAATTTAGAATATTAACCCTAACCCTAACACGAAGGAAAAAAGCTGCTAAATAGCCAACTGGACTACCAGTTGCCAGCCAATAAGGTTTGTATTTACTGATGACGCTAATTCCCTGAGCCAGTTTGTACTCTCATAAGTAACTGAGGGGTAAGGGATAAAAAAATATTTTGTTTACGATCCCCCTCCCCCCCCAACACACACACACACACACACACTTAAACGAAATAGTCAAACATGACTGTCTAGTTGAATTTTCCAACTACTATCACAGAAAGTGCGCTCTAATACAAGAATATTTTGCTCTGTCCATTTTTCCCACAAAGTTAACAACCTTCCTCATTAGGAAGCTCTAGCCTCACTCCTTCGCCGGCTAAGAAGAACGGTAAGCTCTGGAAACGAAAATGTCTTGTCCTTTATAAACAATACTCAGGCCGCGAGCCAACTCAGTGTCCATTTGCGCTCAGTAATGTTCAAAAAAGAGGCAAGATTACATTGGGTTTTGGTCTTCCATGGAACAAAAACGGGTTCCAGAATACAGATCAACGAGACTTCCGTCCATAAGTCAAGATCACTAAATTGGGGGGGATTTGATGGATTTCAATATCAAAGGGTTCCGTTAGTTTTAAATCAGTTGAGAGGCGGGCGTAATAGAGAATGTTTATCTTTTTAACCTCTGCATCCGACATCAGAAACTCAAGCTTCTTTTAGGTTTATTTAACCAAGTGGCAAGCGCAGTCATAGTCGAGAGCGATTCCTCCATGCTGCTTAGCGTCCTGTTCACATCGACAGGCGGCAATAGTATTCCATTACTCTATAAAGGTAGAGACTGTGATATGTTTCCTCGTCAGCAGTTGTAGGTTACAACTACAGTAGATCAATTCCGGCACAAAGGCCACAGTATCCAAATAGAAATAAAATGTGCAAACTGATTAAGACTGAAGGTATGATTATTGAAAATGGGAAAAATCAACATTTCGGTTATTTCTACTTACCATTAAGTTAACCAGAATTAAAAGTCCTCAGCGCAGGTTAGTAAAGTAATTAGGAAATTGATTTTAATGCAGCACAAAACTGCAACGAGTTAGCCCTCAGATTAGTTATTTCATGCCAAACGAAGGTCACTATGCCTCAGTGGGTTCATTTTTATCTCTTGCAATCGATCCGAATTCAACTGAAGAATGTTGTGTCAAGAACACGCACGTCACGTCTAAAACACTGCCAAAAACGAAACATAACAAAACGGGAAGGTGAAGTGAACCTAGTCCACCAGTGGCCGTGCTTCAAACAATGGGAATTTTATCAGTTTATCATAAATTTAATGTAAAGGTTTTATCCTTAGCCATCCTCGTTTGTTGCTGTCAAGGAGCATTTTGGGAAACAACAGACGACGTTTATGCAAGTAAGTGATAGAGAAAACATGTCGATAAGTTAGCAGGTCTCATGTTGGACTTGGTTGGTGCCCTTGTCTGAGTTTCAGTCTCTGTCAAGTTCAGTAAAAATTATATAAGTTTCTAGCTTCTAACAACGACGGAAAGGGACGGATAGTTTACTTATTCTATTCCATTTCAAGTACGAATGCAGTCTGGCTGTATAATGCCTAAAAAATTACCTACATTCTAGTCACAGGCTTCTGCTACATTCAAAACTAAACAAGGCAGAATTTTGAAAAGCAGAAATTCAGTGCCAAGGTTAAAGATAGAGATCACGCAATGTAGATCAGAGCAGAAATCAACTGAAGTAGTAAATCGCAGATGCGGAAAACTTCAAAGCAGCGGAAGACGACAGAATGAATTGAAGCATGAGGTCAACGTGGTTTGCTTATACTCAGTATCCAGACCTATCCATAGTGTCATCATGTGATCACAAGACTTGGTTAACATGAAAATAGGTATAGAAAAATTCCAAAACGAAGAGCAAAAATTAAGAAAACGGAACGTCACGTTTTCTTTGCTTGTACAGTCAGTTTTTGTGCTTTCCAACGAACTGGTCAGAAAGAATTGCTCAAAGAATTCGTTTGCCTCTCTCAATGAAATCAACGGGTAAGGACGAAAATCCTTGTAAGCCACTTTCTGAGATACTTTGCGAGGACCATGTTGAGGAAAATGAGTGAGCAATAGAATTCACATCTTGCACACACAGATAGAGAATTTTAACGCGGGATTTACTTCGCCTTCACCGCCCGCTAAGCGGTGAGAAGCAAATTGGCACACATAACACACAGCTCTGTGCTACATGATGTGGTGATCTTATCACATAACGTATGTCTGTAAATAAAGTTATATATTACGTATTAGCCGTAAGACATGTGGTAAGTACTGCGGAGCCTCTACTCAGGGGACGCCTTTGGGAAAGGGACAGAGTCCCTTAAAGAGGGTTTTCCTTCAATAGAGGTAGTGGATACAAAGATTGTACATTATAGAGCCTCCATTTAGAGGACACCATCGACACCAGGACAAGAGTCCCTTTAATGGAATTTTCCTTCGTAAAAAGGCAGCTGCATTAAACAAAGATCGTGTCTAGTTTTTCTCTCCACTGTTTGAATGGAGTGGCCCCCTTAATGGAGAGACTTCACTGTATGTAATATTGGTCAGACAAAAAAAGTTTTTTATTATACAAATAAGGTCCGTGGTCAACGCTTTAGAATCCCCCGGGTTTTAAGACTGAGGTTCATTATCAATCGATAAGTATTTTCGATTCTAATATCAACCTCTTTTGTCATTTATTTACATTTGCACGTTTTGCTTGCTAACACAATGCTGTTAACTCAAATGCTTTGAGTACAGGAAAAATAAAGATTTTGAGGCTAGAAAGTGAAATAACAAATAAAAGGATTTATGCAAGTAAAATTCTTCTGGTCTTAAGTGTTTCAGACCATCCCACCGATCCAGGAAATACGGCAAAAACTGATGAGATACTTCCTTGACCGTCAAGATGACTCAAGAGGCAAGCGATATATTTCATATCACGACATTGTGTTCGTTCTCGACTCATCCAACTCCATAAGTGAGGCCGATTTCAATCTCAGCTTAACCGCAGCCCAAGGTCTGGTGACGCGATTTGACCCAGATACAATGTTTGCTGCAGTAACCATAAGCACAAATGCTTCCGTCAACTTTAATTTTAAGTCGACCAAGGTAAGAAAAACAAAGGTATAAACGGCCCTAAGGATTTGAGGTTATCACAGGTTGTTAATAATGGCAATAGGGTGTGTTAATCACAGACTAAAATAGCACAATGCCACTAGTGAGCTTAGCGACACCACAACGACGACGGAAACGGGAAAAACTGTCAGCAAAAAAACTCTGAACGTGCAACACACTTTTTGGCGGGTTTCTTTGCCGTTATTGCACGCTGCCGTTGTTAAATTTGATTGAAATGGTAACGATCGTCGCGACTTCGATTTCGTCGGAAATACTCATATAGAGGCTCAATTAACATTAAATGATCATTCAGTTCATTCTTTGCAAATTAGGCGGTCTTGGTGAAGGATAATAAACAGAGGAAAGTACTGCTTAGTAGCTTTCATTTAAATGCTCACACTTTGAATTTCACTCACAAATTCTTGAGTCAGGAACCTTTGTAAAGAAAAATAATCGGAATAAAGTACTGCTCAGTATCAATCATTTGAATCGGATCACACTTCATTCCGTAGTTAGTGTAGAGGAGACTGGTTATGAAATCTGTCAGACTTCACAGTTGAAAGTAACGAGGCTGTAGTTCATGTTGGAAGCTCCCTGACGGCGCTAAACCTCCCTTCTTTACCCTTCTCTTGGTCCCTTGCGCGTCGTCACCAGTCACTCGCGTTTCGCGCGCGCCTCTTTGCCAAACCATGCGAAAAACGAAGCGCCAGAGGAGGAGGAGGTTGATCCTTTGTTTTTTTGTTCACAAATTGTGACTGAATAAATCAATGCAATGTTTCCGTTGGTCAGAAAGTTCAAAACGATGGGAATGCTATTAAACGTTGTGCATGGTCAGGTACAAAAAAGCTAACAAAAATATAAAAAAGGAATCTAACGGGTTTCATAACCATTCCACTTTAATAAATACGTTCATTCTCAGCGGACCGTACAAACGTTAAAGCCACCTTATCAGCATAATAAACAGTACTTTGATGCACTTCAGGGCCTTATGCTGGCTCAAATGCTGGTCCTATCAAGTACTATAGTACTATACAGTAAATAATACCACATAAAAGAGGCCTGATTAAAAGCCTTTGTTACTTTTTTTTCCAGCCTGCTATTGAAAGCATTGGCAAAATTCAATATCAAGGGGGCAAGAAAAACATCTTAAATGCCTTAAAAAAGACGCTTAACGTGTTATCTCTGAACGCTGACTCGGGTGTTCGCGCCGGAAGTCGGAAACGCGTGTTACTGGTGACTAACGGACCAGATGAACGGAACCTGAATGATACGGAAAAGCTACAAAAGATCATTTGGACAGCAATACAGTTACGAATTCGAGGACCAGAAGTTTTTGTAGTGGTTGTTGGCTATAAGATACCAAGAATTGAAGAGCTTATTCAGATAGCAAGTTCGACCGACACACACTTCTATCGTGTATCTGACATGCTTTCTTTCAAACAAATAGTGGATGGGATCCCTGTTCATATTGCTTACCAAGAACAAAACTTGGGCAAATAGCCTTAATACAACTATACGAACGATACTCCACAAGACTTTGGAGACAAAACCACAAGTAGATGACTAAAAAGATTTAGATTCCAGACCAATTTACTTAATCGTTTCCAGGACAATCTGGAGTTTAAAGAAGCAAGTGCTGAGACCTAACGAACAAAAGTTTCGTTTTTCTAACATATAACATTAGAGAAAGAGCTACTTGGTGGGCAAGCATCAGTTACAATATTGGAGCCGCCCGAGGACAACAAAAGTAACGTTCCTTCTTTGCCTAAAGGGATCCCTGATAAAACTCGACATATCAACAAAGACATATCACCAACAAAGAAATCCAAATTACTAACGAAATATTCGCAACTTTGTAAGTTGTGCTGCTATCCAAAAATGATACTTATTTCTCTGCATCTTTTCTCACCTACGAGGCAAACGTAAAAGGAGAGGGGGAGAGGGGTGAAAAACAGTCCCATTCTCTGCCCCCTCATCTTTTTTGTAACTGTAACACACGCCACAACTTATAGACTTGTGACTTGCAGGGATACAAAATAAACGAGATCGTCTTTAAGACACCAGATGCCTTGTTAAGAAAGGTACAGCACCTGGCGATGCGAAGCTACAAACCATATTGTAATATAATCAATACAAAATGACCCCCTCACCTGCATGATAGACGTCTGAGGGTTTCTCACGATATTTTTGACCGCACGTCCGGATACTGTAAAGAGCTAGCCAAGGTAGAGAAGAAATAAAAAATATTCAAACAAATTATAGTTGAGAATGAAAGAACCGGATTGTATCAAAGACGCACGGAATTAAGGTAAAACTGAAGACGATGTAACGCCAAAATTAAGGTAAAACTGAAGACGATGTAACTGTCAAAATTACACTAGAGGGACAAACTTAAGTGCATGTATCATAAAGATGGAAAATTTGATATCTTTAACCAAAATTTATCATTGAGGTGTTCGTAATAGAGAGATGTCTGTATTGTAAAGAAAAGGATTACTGTGAGTGAAGTTTAGAATCTTTTAAGCCAAGAAAACTGTCGGTACCAATAGAGAGATGTCCGTATTACACAGTCGTCTGTATCATAAAGACAGGAGAGATTTCCTGAGCAGTATCTTTGGAACCAAGCGAACTGTCTCTATCGTAGAGGTGAACGTGAAGAAAAGTTCAACTGTACATCAATTATTTTCCTGAAATGGATTTTTCACGACAAAATTCAAGAGTACAAAGAAACAGCCACCCAAAACTTTGTAGCTGCTGCCCGTATGAAATGGTATTTGCTAGTCTGGGGATTCTACAGGACATTTTGAGGTGTTGAGTCGAATTGTACTATGGGATTGTTCTGGGAATGCTTCTTTAATGAGCTATTACAAGGTTGCGAAGAAAATTGGGTCAGAATTCCTTCCCCAAAACAATTCCATACATCAGTGCGGGCTCATTTCCAAAAAAACAGCGGCCGGTAATCGAGCCTAAATGTGGACATGACCAACGAAATAATTAATAATGGATTGAAAATGAACATACTTGACTACAAAAGGAAGTAGCATAAGTTATTTCCTTCTCTTTTGAAAATCCTACGGAACGGAGGCTAGTAGAGAATTCTTCCAGAATTGGTTGTGTCGTCTGCTGAATAATCTTGGCGTATTCTGACATCTTAAAGAGTTCTGGCAAATTAGGTTTAAGCGAGGTATGCCCCTCTTCCATTGAAAGAACCGTGGTTTCTATGAAATAACGTTGATATAGAGCAAGTTTGGTTCAACCTTGAAATTGTTCGTTCACGCGCAAAATGACAAAACTAAAAAAGACAGAAAAACGTCAACGTATTGTTAGCCGGCATAACAGG